GTTGCTTCAACAGCGGGTACCTAACGATACACAGAATCGTAACTGCTAAAACAGCTCACCTAGCTCGCTAGAGCGCTGGCGCTTGCGACCCACAGAAAAAAGACGGTTCGAGGAAATCAAAAAAAATTTGCGCGAGTGAAGGCGCAAGTTTGTGTGCAAAGTTCTTCTATTGCTTCTTATTTATAATCAATCCTAAAATCACAGATATTCGGTAATGAAAGTTAAAAACAGGGTAAAGCTTTTATGAGCACTCCACATAGTTTTTGCAAAAAAAATTGTGATAATCTGATCTAACCGATAATGTCAGCAATTTCAATAGTAAACTTTGTAGAATTCCAATAGGCCAAAATTTTATTATTTTAATGAAGCAAAACGCACTTTCGGAGATGTTCCTGGCAAATAAGTTGCCCGGAATATGCCTGCCACATATTGTCGTCGGCCTCGTTTTGAGGTGTGAGGTTGCTGCGTAACTAAGGTAGTTACGTTAATACGTTTCGGACCGGTGCTGCACATGGTGCAGCACGCTGCTTTAAAGGATCATTTTGACGTTTACTGGAGTTTTTCTTTTGGTCTAAGGTTATCAAGTCAAGGCCTAAGCTCCTACTTTCCAAATGACTTTGTAGAGCTGTGCCGCCGATATTCGTTTCAGAATTATGAGGTCAAATTGAACGACAGTCACAAGAAAATGCTGCAACGCGAACGACGCATGCGACGTCGCAACTTCTTCTTGATTCAATTTCGAGGAGAAAAACCATAGTTTAGATAATGATGTGTACCGTGTGCAACAGAGACACTTTTGGGTACTATTTTTGGGTATGGAGCTTATCTGACATGCTTATTACGGATGTAGCACACAGTCTACGAAATAAGTTCCCTTTGTTGGCTAACGGCTGAAAGTGCACTCTTTTTCGCCGCGCGCGATTTCGCGGTCCGAAACGTGTTAATATTGCCACAGGGATTGTGAACTACATTATCCTGGATTATTAAGGCTATTCTTCCGTTCATTGCTGAGGCCGGCAGATTTATGGAACATTACATTGATAAGCACACATTTTTTTCAATTCAGAAGATTTCACATCCTATATGAAAATTTCATATGGGATGTAAAATCTTCCGGAGCTACTGTATTCTATCCTATCTATGTTCTCTATAGTGCTTTCATATTGCAAATGTTTCGTATTCGTTCTCTTTTCTAGCAAATAAAATACAGGGTGTCCCAAAAAAATGTGAACACTGTTTGATCGTTAATAACTCCCTTGCTTTCAAGCCTCTCGCCGAGCTTTAGGCACCATTCTGTAGACTCTGACATTCGTTTCGGACGAACGGCGCGCAAAAATAACGATTCCTACGACCCGCGCCTGTCGAGCGTATGAGCGGCGCGACACAGTCGGATTTGAGTACGAGCGGCGCGCAATTCGGAGTGCATCAGTACGAGCGGCGTGCAATTGACAAGGAGGACCGGCCGCGTGCTTTCAAACGTACGAGCCGCGTACCACTAATTTAAGCTTCTGCAGTTTTCAGGCAGGTCCACATGTTCACGGCTACCATAGTCAACGAAAGACGTTTAAGTTTGTGCGCGATCATTATTTATGCATTCGGTTGTAAATTTTTTCATTTTTAAGTGCACAAAAACTATAGCGTAATTTTCACACGTTATAAGCGTAAAGGGTACTTGCGTAAGGTACGACGCAATGGTTAGGCTGCCCTCAATGCTGATTCACTTCAATGTGTTTACAATATTTACAGAAGGCTTACACAAGGACATAGTCGGAAGGTGGTCCTATAGACAGTTTTCGATAGTACCTCTGTGTTGTTAATTTTGTAGCCGGACGTGATTTCCGAAACTGCCATATCGGTGGCGTTAACACAAAATTGTCATATCAGCGATTCAAGCACGAAATTACCGTACCAGCGGCGCCGAAGTGACAGCGTACCAGCGGCGCGAAATTCGCGTATCACCCGAGCGCATTTAGCGGGCGAACGGCCATTGAGGAGTCCGCTCGTACGCAAATTTCGCGCGGCTGGTCCAAAACGAATGTCAGAGGAGCGAGGTCCAACTTAGATTTGTAGTATGGAGCGAATCACCGTTCGCTGTTCGTTACTGTAGGATTACGGTATAAACTTCTAGCATGTGGATCTATTGTGAAATATGCCATTTGACAAAACTTTTTTCAAAAAATCTGAAAAATCGTGTACTAGGGTTTTCTTGCACGCTGATTCCATTACACAACTTTTTACGAATGTTTTCAGCTTTTTTGACGGTGTACTTACATTTCTGACAAATACTGGGAACTGAGTTATTACGATTTACCGAGGATAACTTTGGGAAGAAGCATAACAGTAAAGTGGAAATTTCATATTCGAAATCAGCGTCTTCCATTACCGTAGTATAAGAATTTTTGGCTTGTTTGGCTTTGTTCCGAATCAAAATATAGCCTCCAATGGTCTAAAATCCTAATCGAAGTTTGTACCGTAATCCTACAGTAATGAAGAGCGATTGACGATTCGCTCCGTACTGTAGATCTAAGTTGAACCTCGCTCTATAGAATGATGCCTCAAGCTCGGCAAAAAACGTGAAGGCAAGAGAGTTATTAACGATCAAACAGTGTTCACATTTTTTTGGGACACCCTGTATAATCAATTATCCAGATAAAGCTACGATTATTTCTTGTAGCGTACTAGAAAGCGAAAGATTTTGTCAAAACTGCTCTCAGTAGAGTTTGTTGCCATATCATGCTTCATTTCACTGGCACAATCCATCAAAATTGGTTTCGGAGTTGCTCTATAATGCAAAATTTCCATTGATTGGAACAAAGCTAGTGCCTTCCCATAAATTATGGGTCACATAGAAATCTTTAAAGTTCCTATTTCTAATGACAAGTTCTCGCAGGAGCTCTTCTTCCAGTCGGTTCCACTTCTCATTGTCAAAAATATATTTGAAGCAGTTTTTTGAAACAAAGGAATATTTGTGCAACTAATTGCCAGGAGCATTTCCTGCGCTTTGCTTGAAATTATAAAATTTGGTCTATTGAAATTCTACAAAGTTTACTTCTTGAAATTGTTGACATCGTTTAGATCAATTATCGCAATTTCTTCTTGCAAAACTATGTGAAGTGCTCATAAAAGCTTTGCCTTGTTTTTAACTTTCATCACCGAATATCTGTGATTTTAGGATTGATTATAAATAAGAAGCTCTAGAAGAACTTTGCACACAAACTTGCGCCTTCACTCGCGCAAATTTTTTTTGATTTCCTCGAACCGTCTTTTTTCTGTGGGTCGCAAGCGCCAGCGCTGTAGTGAGCTAGGTGAGCTGTTTGAGCAGCTAGGATTCGGTATATCGTTAGGTACCCGCTGTTAAAGCAACCAAGGGGCGTGGCTTAGTGTATACCATTAATGATTGGGTACCTAAAGCCCACACCTCGGCTGGGTACCTAACGCCCGCCCCCCGTGTCCGTAGAGTCCTCCGCAAGCGTTTAAATGCATAAGTTTGGGTCACTTCGAAGTTTTTTTTTCGTTTTTTTTGAGCTTCTGACATTGGCGCCATAATTTTTAAGAGCATGTCGGAGGTCTGATGGTGATTGCTATAACTAGTTTTCGGAGATCTCGCCAAACATGCAGAAAACACCTTATAAGAAAGTTTGTTCGGCTTTGAATCCGAAATATGAAAACGCGATTTTGTTTAATTGCATTTTCTAAGCTAAAGCTTGAATGCAAAGCTGTCGAGGGAACAATTATAATGCGCAGTGTATTAGCAGGGCCACCTCTTTCTTGTGAGTGGTGCAAGGCCAGTGCAAAAAAATTAGATATACAAAAAAGAAGCTAAGATTTTGCCATGTTCTCAAAGGTTACCTGCCACCTAGAGGAGCAGCTCAGGCTTTTTTGAAGCAAATCGCAAGTGCAACTGTATAATCAGCAGGCCTCAAGGTTTCACTCAACCTTTCTAGAAGACACCTTGGCAAAAAATTCAATACAAGAAAGTCTTAGCACATGATTACTCCCACCTATTGCATACCTTGAGTAGACTTTTCGAAATATCTAAACTGAGAAATCGAGTAGACATTCGTTGCTGGGGTTGTTTGTTTTTCTATTTGAGACGAATATGATTCTTGATGGATCTAAACCCTCTTCAAAGTTTCCACTGCATTCCTGCAGTAAGGAAGAGCGACCGGTTATCCGCTTTAGGCCCCGGTCAGACTTCACGCGACTTAATCGTCGCGATCTAATCGCCAAGATTTCCATTCATTTTCATTTCACATTCAAAAATATCGGGCTGGAAAAGTATCACAACCGAATGCGAGTTGATCGGCATGGAATGATGTTGTAACAGTTGTCTCGTCGCGATTCAGTCGCGACGATCAGTCGCGTGAAGTCTGCCCGGGGCCTTAGACTGCAAATCTAAAGTGAAGCCAGCTCTACAAATGGTATCTGAAGATCGGCGGAAAAGTTTGCAGGAAAAGATGTTGTTAACCAAACACTGCATACATACTTTTCGGATTGTATTTGGATGACTCGATAACGTCGCTAATGGTTCCCATTATCCAGCACCGGCTACCGCACAGTTAGCTCCAACTTGCTACAAAATTTTTTGACTTTCCATATATAAATATGGTCTGCATTCTGGAAGCATACTAATATCGAAAATGCTCCATACAACTAAGACTGGAGCTTTAGTAATCCCACAACTAAAATTGCCTATAAAAATACAGGAGTCCAACAAGTGTGCGCTTCTACCCTACCATCAAATGGCACGCTGGAACCTTGGCAGTGACGGGTATGTCGCGCGAACCCTGTCGAAGGCGGCTTACCGATATGATAACTACACAAACTTTTTTATTCTCAATTTTTCATGCTCATCGAGGTTCCCATTCAAGAGCAGCTTCTGCATCTTTGACTGATACTTGATTTTCATACCAATCTTGATTTCCGCATCAGTCGTACTTCTTGACTGCTGGGATTTCTCCACGCTATTTCACAACGAAAATACACAATAGTCTCATCATGTATTTTATTCACTATCACTGTACAGTAATGATTCGACTGCTTCTCGATTCACCGTCTTACTTGGATGCGTAAACAAGCCGGTTCCTACCAAGTGTCTTTCAACACGCTCCTGTTGTCGCCTTTTTGCGTAACGATCGCATGCTGAAAAATAAACAATGTTGTACTTTGATCAAATACAATAAAAGTTATTTCAACGTACTTGCATAAATCAATAACATTGGAATGACCGCCAGTACGCCAAGCGCACCAGTTCGAGAGACGAGGTTGTTGTAGTACGAGTAGACGTCCTTTGTGACAAATTTTTCACAAAATTGCCCTAAAACAGTTTTTTTTCGGAATGTGAATACTAGTAATAAATTCGCTGAACTCTGCAAATACTTGGTTATCCTCAATATCATTAGTCATCAAGTCAGGAAAAGGAAACACACAATCCATCATTAAAAAAGAATGATAGGAATTAACGATGTATCGTGCTCTACAAAGTTTAAACGATATCCTGACTGGAGGCATACTGCTCCTTCTCATTGTCAGATGGGGTAAAAGCAGCCTTGAGAAGGTTGAACAATTCATCGCGATATTTAGGATGCGGACAGGCCCGTTCCGCTAATCAAATTGGGTAGTCTGAAGACAATTCCGAAACTGAGCCTCAAACTAGCCAAAGATGCCAAAAGTCTGCTTTTCATGATTAACATCAGGTTTCCTACATTACCAGCAACTGAGGGCCAGTTCAGCCCTCATCACTTTCGGACCACCCATGCTGATGGGCGAAACGGACTGTAAACAGGCACCTCTAGAGTGATTTTTGCTTCGAAGTTCATGATTTGTGGGACTTGAACAGTCGCTTGCTCATGGTCCTCGTTATTGTACCGCACAGAAATCTCTCCTTCTCCCTCTCCCCACCCCAGTTCAAATGGACTGACACAGGTACACAGCAGTAGCCCTTCCCCTTCCCCTCCCCCCCCCCCCCGAGAATGGGTCGCGAAATTTTTGAAATCAATTTACGTGGGTTATAAAAATGTGCAAATGACTTGTTTATATTTTTAACCGACTAGAATAATTTTCAAAATTTTTTAAAATTCAAACTAGCCTTACAAAATAAATTTTTCGGTTTGCGTGGCTGAAGCCATGCACCTTTATTGAAAAAAATTTTTTGCCTTCCCTACCCCCCCCCCCCCCCTCCCCCCAAATCCTAGGACCGTCTGGTACAAAGTATGCATGTCGATTGTGCTTGCCGTCGTCAGAAGTTCTAAAGAATACTGGGTGGTTTGAAGAATTTAGCAATAATGTCCTCTGTGTGCTTCATGGATGATCTTTGATATGAGGCGATGCTCAGTATTTGTACAGTGCGCATGCACTTCATGAATTCCTCCAAAAGAACAAATATGAGAGAGCGCAAAAAATTTCTCTGGGGTTTAACCGGCGGCAAAACGTGCAGCTTAGCGTAAAAAATGCATAAGTTTTGTTAGAGACAATATTGGAATCCGCTGCAAGGAGGTCGCTTTCATACTTATACTTTTAGTTTTGGTGGGAATGATTTTCTACCCGCATCCAACTCAAGATTTTTCTTGCTAGAATTTTGATAAGGGAGTTTTTAGAAATTTTGCATCAGAAAGCAAAAGCGCTGCTCTACTAGGTTAATTTTGTGCAAACATAGAAAAAGTTAGTAAAGCTGAACAAAGATGAAAATGGTGCAGGTTGCAGGTTTGTGGGATTGTTTGTGCTGTGTCTGGTTTCAAAGTCAAATATCAAAGAAGTGAAACAATCGAATGGGAATAATTTTCTAGATGATTGCGAGGTGTGGCATCACGCAAACTCAGAAAAATAAATTTCTGGAATGACCTAATTTCATGCATAAGATTACCTGAATAAGGTTTTTCACAATGACAACTTGTAAGGTCATAGTTAGGCGATCCGTGCTCACTGCAGTCAATGGCATCGCAGTCTGGTCCCGTCCATCCATTCACACACATGACGCATCTGCAAATTGATGGCTTGAGAATCTAAAGCTATTCCTAAAAAGTTACTTACGATCCGTTCGTGTGCCGTTCGTAGCCATCACAGTTCATTTTTCTGTGACACATGGCACCAGTCCATCCGTCATGACAAAAACACCGCTCTCCTTCTTGATCACCATTGATGCATGTTTTACTTTTTATTAATACAGCTATAGAAGAGATAACAATGATTAAGACCAGTAGAATATACCGCAGCATCTGCAAGCAATATAGCCTTAGTCCGAACGGTAAAAAGAAGGTGCAAAATATTGCCACAAAAAATCATTTTCGCGTTACTTAGGTGGTCTTAGTGACAATGCAAGATCTTCATGGCAATCGCTCTAGCGGAATCTGTTGTCACTTCTGATAAAAGCAAGGGCTTAAAGATTGACAAATGATGGAATTTATCTCATTTGAAAGCATATAGTGTTACTCAGACGTGATTTCTATGGAGTTTATAAATCGGTCATATTAGGTTGTCCCAAAAGTAAGCTACTTTTCTGATGGAAACAAACTGTTTTTGTTTTCCTAGCAGACTTAGGGTGTCTTTCGACTGAGCGAAGCAAGCTTTATAAGACGACCGCCAAAGATCCTAAATCGAAATACTACGTAATATATTAGGTTGTCCGGAAATTAATGCCCGTTTTGAATTTCAACCGCATTAAGTCATACACTTCTCATTTCCAAATAGTTGCAAAGTACCATTCGATAGAGCAAAGCAAGCTTTACAAGATGGCTATCATGCTTTTGCAACAGCTCTCATCCGTTTCGAGTTTCGAGCCAAAAACTAAAAAGACTCAGCAGCCCGAAAAATCGAAAAAATCGTAACCCAGTTCATTAAAACCTTACAAAAATTCTTACTTGCTCAGGTAAACACTATCCATATAATACATTTATATATGCCTTCGCCGGTTTATTCCTCTGTTAGAAATGAAGAAAACGGAAATTTTTGTGCATTTGCCAAAGTAATGCTGTGCCGTCCCCACATAAATAGTTGTATACCACAAGCCTGTAGAAGTACAGACTTAAATTTTCAGCTCTCTACAAGCTTTAGTTCTCAAGAAATTTGAATTTTCGCTTAGACCACCTAACTAGGGAAAGCTATATTTGGTATTCCTCGAGAATTAAAGCTTGTAGAGAGCTGAAAATTTAATCCTACCCTATGTGGGACGGCACAGCATCACTTTGGCAAATGCACGAAGATTCCCGTTTTCTTGATTTCTAACAGAGGAAAAAATACGGCAAAGGCTTATATAGATGTCTTATGTGGATAGAGTTTACGTGAGCGAGTAAGAATTTTTGTAGGATTTTTATAATTTGAGTTACGATTTTTCTCGAGTTTTCGGGCAGCTGAGTTTTTTTTACTTCTTACCTCAAAACTCAAGGTGGATAAGAGCTGTTGCAAAAGCAAGAGAGCCTTCTTGTAGAGCTTGATTTGCTCTATCGAATGATACTTTGCAACCTAATTAAAAATGAGAAATGCATGACTTATTGCAGTTGAAATTCAAAACGGGCATCAATTTCCGAGAACCTAATATTTTGGAATCGTTGTTTACCCATTAACACCCCTGGTCCGTGGAACATGGCAAACGAGGAGGCCGCAGACGGAGAAATTATGATGAAATACACTGATCTTTAGATTTGGATTGCTGCCAAGTGGCATGCATTTTGGAACGCTGCCAAATTTCAAAACGAGTGACCAAGCATATTTTCGTAAAAGGGTCACACGTATTTCGAAAGGTAATCATGAGCCTCGCAATGATTTTGAGAGTGGGCCGCCAGTGTTCGGGTGTGTTATTTGTACCTGCTTTTTTCCCCAGAATGTGTCTTCTAAATATAATGTGTTGTACTCCTATTAGTCGCTTTTGAAATGATGCTAAATTGCGTAACAGCGTGATTTGAGCTCTAAATTCATCCATGTTCTCAACTTGGTAAAAATGCTCTGACTAAGAAAGTCACTTTAGGATTATCTTGCTTCCGCGTGTAGACAAGAGGGTGCGTGAGTAACTTGGCCTCGCTTTTGAACGCGTTTATCTAACAACACCTTACTTTGCTTGTGTAACTGGGTCCTGCTGGTGCTTTCAACTAGGTATTGGTGTGTACGCGGCATGTAGGGCAATTCAATCGGGAAGGGAAACAGATTTTTGTGCGTTTGGGTCAGTTCTCAGAATTGAAAGTCTTAAAGTGACATGTACGGCAATTGAATACGCTGTAAATACTTGAATTCGTCGTTTTCTTTTTGTTTGAGTCGTAGTTGGTTTTTCTTATATACACGGTCTTCAAGCGGCACATAGGGCATAAATTTCCTTTTTGAATAGTTACTATCGGTCTGTAAGCGGCACGTAGGGCAACTCGATCGGACAGGGAAATATTAGGTTGGTCCGAAAGTTCGTTCGCACCATTTTCAAAGAATCATAACTTCCTTCCCTCACAATGATTTTGCGCAACTGGAATTTTATTAGAAAGCGTAAAGCATGTAGTTTCCAATTGTCCCCTGGAGACTTTTCAGCATGTTCAGATTGCAGAGATAAAAATGAAAGAACGAAAACGTCCGAAATTCGGAATTTTTGAGAAACAATTCCAAAAATCTAGAAACTGCGCGATAAAATCCAGAAAAGCCATTATCCCAATTTTTCTTATATTTGATTACTAACTGAGTTAAGTTTGTGCTGATCGAGCTCTTCTTTCAAAAGTTATGATTTTTTGAAAAAAATGACGAAAAATCAATTTCCTAAGAATTCCTAAGAAATTGATTTTTCGTCATTTTTTTCAAAAAATCATAACTTTTGAAAGAAGAGCTCGATCAGCACAAACTTAACTCAGTTAGTAATCAAATATAAGAAAAATTGGGATAATGGCTTTTCTGGATTTTATCGCGCAGTTTCTAGATTTTTGGAATTGTTTCTCAAAAATTCCGAATTTCGGACGTTTTCGTTCTTTCATTTTTATCTCTGCAATCTGAACATGCTGAAAAGTCTCCAGGGGACTGTTGGAAACTACATGCTTTACGCTTTCTAATAAAATTCTATTTGCGCAAAACCATTGTGAAGGAAGGAAGTTATGATTTTTTGAAAATGGTGCGAACGAACTTTCGGACCAACCTAATAGATTTTTGTACGTTTGGGGCAGTTCTTCTGATTTTCAAGCGGTCTTCAAGCGGCACGTAGGGCATGTACTGTCTTTCAGATAGATAATATTGGTTTGTAAGCGGCACGTAGGGCAATTTGATGCAATTTGATCGGACAGGGAAACAAATTTTTTGTATGTTGGTTGACGGTCTTTAGGTGGCTCAGTAGTCGTGCTTTTCGGGAAGGGATCTCCTTTTGTAGTAAAAATTCATATTCCTTTGGCGAAAAAAATGAGGATTTTCTGAAAAAGTTCTTACACGATTGATTTCGTTGCTGTCGGAATTGATGGTGAGAAAAAAGTGTTTTTCGTAGTGCACATAGTTGTTATGGGTGTATCTCTACTTCCAAAACTATACGTTTTTTGCTATTTACTTAACGATCTTCTATGGAACTTGTTGAGAAGAACTGGAAGAGCAAATTCTCTTTGAGAAGGTAGAAAAGTGGGGGGGGGGGTATCTGAATGTCTCTGAGAGGAGGGGAAATTTGCAGAAAGAGCGTGGTAAAAGAGAGGAAAATAATATCCTCCATACATTGTTGTAGCAGGAATTTCGAGAAATGCTGAATGATTTGTGGAGATTATCGCTTCTTCGAGTTCTCCTTTTGTAGATTTCGCAAAAATGTTCTCAAGAAGGGAATAGGAAACTTAAGAAGTATTGATAGTCACAACTAAGCCCTTATATTGTATCTGCCCCGACTCACTTGCTAGCGACCCGTAGGGTCGCTAGTCTAGATAAAATTTTGAGCCAAAAATCAAAAATTTTTCATTATTCCTGAAATCGGATCTCCTTTCGAAAAATTCTTACAAACCCAACTTGGTCATTGTACAGTAGCCCATAGTAGCACTCAAAAATGTATTTGGTGGATTTTTTCCATGACTCAATATTGAGAAATTAAAATAGCTTGAAAATGTAAAAATCTCTCACTTTTTTCGAGTTTTTATGCAAAACTTGTTATTTCTTGGTTACCAATGTGCATACAGAGGTAAAATTTCCAGGTTATACTTACTCAGGCTTGTGGTATACAATGACATATGAAGGGCTGAGAGCTTAGTTCGCCACTTTTGGATATTTTCTTGCTTTTTTATGCGTGAAAATAAGGTTTACGCATATCTGGATTCCACTATGAGTCTACTGCAACCAAGTCAGAGTTTTTTCTCGCAAAAATCCAATTTTCAGGCTATAAAAGTTTCTTCGGTTTCGGCTCCGAATTTTACCTGAATTACGATTTAGGAGGGTCTTCGGCAGTCATTCTGTAGGGCTTGCTTCGCTCTATCGATGATACCTTAAGTCTGCTAGGAGAGCGGAATCAGCTCGATTTATTTGAAAAAGTTCAGTTTTGGGATAATGTAATAATTTCTAAACAGACATGCATTCTTTTCATTCACTTGTAACCTTGATTTGGTAATTTTCTCAGTCAATCTAACTTAGAAGATTTCGCGGAGAGCTTAAAGACTTTTAAACAAAACTTCATAATGTGGAGGACGGGGTCGCGCTAAACGCAGGAGTCACCAAGCTACTCGAAGCGATCACTGTATTGGAATCGAATCATAGCATTTCATAATTTCTAGCCGTCGTAAAGATGTGGTATGAATCCGTGTTGTACTAAATTCGAGCGAAGTATTTCACTAGGAGATGGCGAACATCTTATCAAGTGAATGGATGTCCCACATATTGTTCACGGATTCCAGAGCCAATCTGATCAGAGTTGACCGCGATTCGAGATGCATTAAAGATCAACTTGTGGATTCCAACAAAGAGGCAATATTTTCGGTTGGCTTTTCTTATGTGCCTTCTGCGGGTAATAAAACATTACGGACGTTTGTTTGATGGGAAAATCAAAAAGGTTGAGCAATTGATAAAATGATTATTTCATCGCATTTATTAAGTTGGCACATAAGTTTTGCAACTTTTCCCGTAACTTTATTCCTACTCTATGTAGCATTCTCATTTTGTGGCATCGTGTAGATCGTGATGTAAGCTGCAAGTCTGCGCAAACCGTTTGATTTTCAATAACGTAGTACAAAAAATCTAAGCATTTTTTGAAAACTGCTGGAAATCGAGGTTTCACGATTTTTTGGCAAACATGAAGCCCTACGA